TCGGCCAAAAACCTGAGAAATTGCTAAAGGGGTCGGAAGAGATCGATGACCACGGAGAAGCGTTTCGAAGAGAAGAGATACAGTTTGCTGGACGTTTCGGCGAGAATTTCTTCGTTGTTAAATAGATAACTGTTAAACGGAAAAATAACAATGCGGGAGGAGTTGTTGAAGAAACTTGGAAGCGTGGTGGGTTTTGTGTACGATAAGAAGGCTATGGTTCTGTATTATCGGGGATTGAACGGGTTAATACACAAGAGGGGAGTTGGTTGATCGGTGGAGATCTGGCAATTATTAAATGAACGCCTCGGAGAGGGCCTTTAACAATTTAAACGAGCCACTGCACAGCCCCTTCGTTCGAGGAAGGTTTAGTTTTTCAAGTGGCGGAACGCCCCTTGTCCTCTGATAATGACAATCGAAAGGGCGCTTGGAATTATTTCTCGTTGACAGCTCGTTTCGTTCGGCATAACAGTGAGAGAGATACAGAGACAGAGGGAGCGTAGAGGTCTCGTTCTCAACGAAAACAGCCCGTTTATTAAACGTAAGCTCATTAGAGCCTCGTAATTGTGCATCACGTTGGTCTCGGAGATTTCGTTAAGATAAACGTCTCTATAATTATTCCCGTTTCGCGAGTTCCCTTCGGAGATGCGCGAGATTAAGAAGAAATTTGGTGTGGCGACGTTAGGACTGAAGGATAGTTGAAAATATTACGACGAGGACAGGTTTGAAAGGGTTGGAGAGGAAGTCGTCGAATGTTCATCGACTTGAAACCAGAGAGTGTCTTCCTTGATGAAAAATGGATTTCCATTTGTAAGAGTGCGTCACTCGTGTCCACGAATACAAGAGGTCCATTTTTCTTCCCGCAACCGACTTTTCCTCCGTGGATCAATCTAATTTCTCCTCCACTCAGCCTCTTTTTTCCCCTCCACGGCATTCTTTTCGTTGGACAAAGATTTAGAAGGAGTACAAGAAAACTCGTGACGTTCGCGACGATACATTTTCACGTTTTCGTTCCTCTGATAATGTTGATATTTCTATTTTATTGATTCGTTTTTCTCTCGCCATTTGCAAGGTACGATGTTGGAGATTATTCGAGATAATCGTGGCAAAGGAGTTGTTTCGGGAGAATTATCGTAGCCGAAGATTTAATAGCACGATTCATTAATCTCTGACGAGAGCGTATTATTCGGGGCTGCATATTCCGAATACTGTACATCTCGACGAGAGAGGCTGTAGCTCGGTCTCTCTCGAGGGTGGCGTTTCTCGTTTAGCACGTACAACTCGCTACTGTGCTCGTTCCAGCTGCAAAACTGTTAAAAATCGCTCCACCGAGAAGCGATAGGAAAAAACGTATCTGTAAATTTTATTCGACGAAAATCAGCTGTACCCTGATAGCGAGAGGTTCGAAGAATAGTCGTGGAAAAAGAGATCCTCGTTTTAATCAATTTTCTTCCATTTTTGCCTTCTCAGCTTTGTTCAAATTATTACTCAAATTATTATTCATATCTCTTTTGTGACGGATAATAACGCTGCATTGTTATTAATTCCGCGGGCATTAATAACAGTCCACCTTGTTTCGCGAAATTTTAATATTACGCATTTCTTTCGACTAATTAAAAATTTTCGGGTGAATAACATTTCAGAATCGGTGCAAAACTTCGCGTTTAACGCCTGACTGCGTACAGTAGATTTCCGTGTTTCAAAACAGCAAAAGTCTCGAAAAAATTGCAGTAGCGCTACAGCTGTATTCTGCAGCGTAGCAGAGAAAAATATAAAAAGTGTATCTCTGTTAATGAAACGACAGGCCAACAATAGGGCTGGGAATGAAATTTGAAAAATGATCTACGATGACTTAGGAATCCTTGGATACAACCTCCGAGAAAAAGAATGCAAGCTGGTGGGGAATCGATCAGAGGAGAAAACAAATGTGCGATTGGGTAACAAAGATTGGAAGAATGCGAAAAGGGCAACGGCGAGAAATATCGTGGCGAAGCTCGGCGGAGATCTAATTCGAAAGGATAATTCAAAAGCACACGGGGAATTTATTTTCCCTCCCGGCTCGTAGAAGAATAGAGCACCGATCATACGCGTGACTTTTGACGTATCGTTCCGATTATCAGCTCCAGAATTTATTCTTATCGAATGGACGGAACGGTTTCGATATAAACCGGCCCGGTCACGGGATAACGAATGTACGTCATTGTTTAAATTCGAATTGTAGATTCCTGTCCAGCCGGATCACGTTTGTCTTTGCCCAGTAGCCAAACGTGAATTATACTCTCTGGTCGTTATCTCCGTGCACGGATATTAAATATTCAATGGAAAACGAACGATCTTTCGGAGTGAACTTGAACGCGGGGCAGAGGAAAGAGAAAAAAGAATAATGAAAAAAATGGGAGAAACGCGTGGTCGCGTTGCAAGTTAGAATTTGCACTCGTGGGAAAAGTACCGGAACGAAAACGTGGTCCCGTGAAAACGGACATTAATTAGTGAAATGAAACACGTCAGGTCTAACTACGCTAATTTGCGGATATCCCCGCTTCGAAGCGTGACTTTTCGCGCACACTTTTTTTTGTCAAGCTGTTCCCGTTAATGGCGACTTTCAAATTAAACGCTCACTCGAGCCTCTCGTTTCGCCTTTTTCCCTACTTCTTCCTATTTATTTTCCTTTTTCTGTGTGTGCGCGTTATCCATCTTTTCCCTTGGTGCTATTCAGCGTGGAGGGGAAGTCGGGATGACGAAGGAAAATTTGTTCACCGCTTGCCGGCAGGCTTGGTATCAGCGACGTTTTTCCCCTTGGTTCTTGGAAAAGTTGCGGCTCGTTGATTCGTCGCGAAAGAGCGGCAAGGTAAAAGTGATTTCGCCGGGGTCCGACTGGGCAAACTTTTTTACAAGAGCCACGATTCCCGGGAAATTACAGCTTTACGCGGCGATAACGGGATTTGAATGCGAGTCGGTGGAAAGAAGTAATTAGAGTTATTTCGTTTCAACGGAGTGGATAGGGAGGAAGGAAGGCGTTTTAAGCACGAGAGAAAATTAATTAGCTGCTCGTTTTGATCGGATAGCACCAGCGGTAAATAGGTAAACGTATCGAATATGATTTGGGTGGCTGTTTTTTAAACGTAAAGTTGTTTTTTTTTTATTCAATTGAAGTTGGAAGAAACTGTTGTTGATATTTGAACGTGGAGAGAAGTTTGCTTTCTTGATCTCAGTTTTTAATTTCTAATTTTCGAATTTCCAAACTTCCATACTTCCAAATGGCAAAAAGATCACATTACGAAGAAAAAAATCGAAGACCCCAGTTCCTCTCTCAAATACAACTAAAAACTCCTCGAAGGGGAACAAGTCAAGCGATGGTCCCCCTTTCACTTCTCAAACGGAAAGACTCAATAGGATAAGTTTCACGGTATTTCCCAATCGATACACATCATCGCGACATCACATAACCAAATGATTTCACGGATGGCAAGGGACGATATTATAACACCCTGACTAATCAAGCGGCCGTTCACTTGTGCCCAAAATGTTATTCCGTTGGAAAAAGCAAAATTGATAGAATGCTCGCGCGAAGGCTCTCCCTTTCTCTCTCTGGCGTACACGCGATCACCCGTTTAAACGCGCGAAAAATATTTACAGTCGCGTTCTCTAAAGCGATTTATCGTCCGGCACGTTTGAAAGAACGCAAATTTTTCGTGGACACCGACGCGACAATTGAATTTGCCCGAAAAACATCGTTTTTACCGGTTCAATTTTATCCATACGCGTGGGATGTTGTTCTCGCCTAGCTTCTCGATAGTGTTTTTTAACACGAGCGTGGCCTTTAATTTCCCCCCGGGTAATCGTCTAATCGCGTGCAACAACCGGTAAACGATTAACCATTTTCCAAACATTTTCACCGTACCCTTGTTCTTCTACCGAGATATCTCGTATCAAGTGTTAAGCGAAATAAACGATTGGTTCGAAGACGCAGGAATAACTTTTTCGCCGAGAAATTGAACACTTCGGCGAGATCATAAGCCTCCGCGACGAAGATTGATCGAGTCAGATTCATTTATTCGCCGAGTCTCGGCTTAATAACTCGACGAAAGCCGTTGTACCATTATCCTGGCAAACTTTCCTATATTTCTTTCAGTCTCGAGGGGTTACGTAGGTGGGTACGACGACCGGGTCGTTGATAAGAATCTAACGAGAGATTAAGGTTGTAACAGGGCTTTTGATCGTCAATAATATAT